CGCCAGACGTGCTGCTCAGCGCGGTGCAGAAGACGATCGCCACCATCAGCCGGTGCGGGCGCGGCGCTGGGGGGCTGGCAGGGCTGGCAGGGCCGGGGGGCTTGCAGGGTGGGCACGGGTGGAGGCTGGGCGATGCAGGCGGGCACCGCTCCGGCATCAAGAGCCGTGGCACGGCACCTCACAGCCCCTCCCTCGCCCTGTCCCCCCCTCTGCGCCCCGCCTGCAGCATCCAGGCGGAGGCGGGCATGGCGCCGTCCGACGTCTCGCTGCTCAACTTTGTGGTCAGCGACGGGCGCAGCCTGATCGCCACGCGCTACGTCAGCAGCGCTGACGAGGCGCCCGCCTCCCTGTACTACGCCGAGGGCAGCGCCTACGAGCGGGAACAGCTGAGCGGCGAGGTCAGCCGCAAGTACAGCGCGGCGGCCAAGGCGATGCAGGGGGAGGAGGGGATGGAGGGGGCGGCGGGGGCGCGCAGCAGGCCCGTCACAGGTGCGCCGGCGTGGTGTGGTGCGGTGTGGTGGCGGGGGGGCTGCCTGTCGGGGCACTGACAGGGGCAGACGGCAGGCAGGCAGGCAGGCGCGGTTTCAGGCAGGCAGGGCCGCCGGCAGCAGGCACACGACAGGCCTCCCCATGCCCTGCCCCCCTCCTGCACCATCCACGCGGCCCGCACACACACCCATGCACCACCACACACACACATGCACCACCACACGCACCCATGCACCACCACCCCACACCACAGCACACCACACCACCCCACCCCGCACCTCACCACCCCGCCCCCGCCTGCAGAGGAGGGCGACTACCACCTGCTCTACTCCGACAAGGGCAGCCGCGTGTGCCTGGTGGCCTCCGAGCCCGTCACCTCCGCCGCCCACGACTGGTGCGAGGTGCCGGCCAACACCGCGCTGGTGGTGTGCCGCGAGAAGGGCGGCATCCTCAACATCCTCCTCTCACCCATCACCCACACCGGGGACCACCCACGGCACGGCGAGGTGGTGCGCTGCCTGGAGGCCGTCAACCACACGGCCGCCTACGGCAGCAGCGCGCCGCACCACCACGCCCTGCTGACCCGCCCCCGCAGCCAGCCCTCCCTGCCCCGCCACGACAGCCAGCCCGCGCTGGACGGCCCCACCGACAGCGGCGACAGCGGGCAGGCGGTGCCGGCCAGCCCCATGCCGGGCTGCCACCACCACCACCACGCGTTTGGCGGCGGCGCGGGCGCCAGGGCCGCCGCCAACGGCCCCGTGACGTCGGCGGGGGAGGACGACCGCCTGACGGGGCACACCTCCTCCGTCATGTCCCTCACCTGCGCCAACGGCCTGCTCTTCTCGGGCAGCACAGACTCAACCATGCGGGTGAGGCGCCCCCTGCAGCCAGCCAGGCAGGCAGGCAGGCAGCCCGGGCAGCCAGTGAGTTGCCGCAGAGTGCCGCCAAGAGAGCCGCTCAGCGGCCCAGCCCCGGCCGCAGGCCCCGTCTCCTGACCCGCTGCGCTGGCTGGTGTGCCGCGTGCCGCCGCCACCACGCAGGTCTGGTCCCTGGCGGGTTCCAAGTGCGTGGCCGTGCTGCAGGCGCATCGCGGGCCCATCCGCAAGCTGGAGATCGTGGGCGGGCGCCTGTTCTCGGGTGGGGCGCGCGCTGGCGTCGGCAGGGGGCGCTGCCGACCCCGCTCCTGCTCTGCGCCGCTTCCCTGCTGCCCGGCACGGCCGCGCTGCTGTCCAAGGTCTGCCTGCCGCGCCCCGCTCCTGAACCTTCCCCATCCCATGTATGCCATGCCCGCCGTGGTGCAGCCGGCGCCAAGACCGTCTGCATCTGGTCGTTGTCCCCGGGCTTCCCCTGCCTGGGCCGCCTGCAAGTGGCCGACCTGCGGGGCTCGGTCAAGGCCATCGCCGTGGCGGGCAGCACGCTGTATGTGGGGGGCCAGAGCTGCCAGGTGACGGCCCACAGCCTGACTCCAGAGCTGCTGGCAGGCACCCCCGAGGCCGGCGCGGGCGTGGCGTCGCCCCCAGACATGCGCGGCGCGCTCGCCGGCGGCTGCGGCGCGGCGGCGCGGCCGGGGTCGGGTGCTTCGGTGGCAGGCAGCGTGGCGGTGGCGTGCGGCGGGCCCAGCTCGGAGACCATCCGTGTGGTGGTGGGGCACGCCGACCCCGCCGCCGCCGCCTCCGACCCGCGCCACTCCCACTGCGGCAGCATCACCGCCCTGGCCGTGTGCGGGCCCTACGTCTTCTCAGCCAGCACAGACAGCACGGTGCGGGTGTGGCACGCCGAGGGCCTGGAGTTTGTCAAGGTGCTGCGCGGCCACCGCGGCTCGGTGCTGGCGCTGTACGGCGGCCCGGGCATCGTGCTCAGGTGAGCAAGAGGGAAGGTACACGCGTTTCTAGGGGGCCGGATTGTTTGGAGGCAGGTAGGAGGCAGGATGCTGCGGCGCTGCAAACCCTGCCCACATCTCCGCCCTGCTTTGCCCTGATTTGCCCTGCTTTGCCCTGCTTTGCCCTGCCGTGCGTGCTGTGCAGTGGCGGGCGGGACCACCTCATCCGCGTCTGGGACATGGAGGTGCGCTGGGGGAGGCGGGGAGGCAGGGCCCGCAAGCAGAGCCCGCATGCGTGGGCTGCTCTGGTGCAGCAGCAGCGCCACCACCACCACCACCACCACCACTGCAAAGGCCACCCACCCAGCGCTGCCCTCCCCGCCCTCCCAACCCATGCAGACGCTGGTGTGCCGGCGCACGCTGGCGGGTCACACAGACGACGTGCTGTCGCTGGGCGGCGTGGGGGTGGCGGTGTCCGCCCCCGACATCAGCCAGCTCGTCTCACCGGGCAGCCCCAGCACCGCCGCCATGGCCGCCGGCCTCAGCCCGCTGGGCCTGCCCGTGGGCCCCGCCCCCGGCAGCCCCACGGCGATGTCGGGCAGCCCGCGCGCCGGCCTGGAGCGCGCCCTGCTCTTTGTCAGCGCCGGCGCCGACGGCACCGTGCGCCTGTGGTCAGGTGAAAAGGCGGCCCGCCCGCCACGGCAAGGCGTATGGCTCTCCTGTCCTGGCGTCCATGCGGCAGGCATGTGCCCACGCTGCACCCTCCTCCCCTTCTTCAGCCGTCTCCCACCATTCACGTCTCCTTCTTCGCCCCCGCTGTGTGCGCTGTGAGTGTTTGCAGCCAAGTGCTACAGCTGCCTGCGAGTCTTCTACTCGCGCGCCTCGGGCCCCCAGGCCCCCGCCATGTCGGCGGCCGTCAGCGACAGCGTCACCGCGGGCGGCATGCACGACGGTGTCATCCGACTCTGGCGCACAGACGACGTCTTTGCGGCGGCGCTGGCGGGTGAGCGGCCGAGGCGCCGCGCACGGCATCGATTGCGCGCAGCAGGCCCGGCAGGCCCCCTGCCGGCTGCATGTAGGCCCGTGTGTGCTGACTCACCTCCTGTTGAACCTGTTTGTTGAACCGCGCATGGCGCTGCCCCTGCAGACCTGCTGGGGCTGCGCGAGTGCGACGGCAGCCAGCACGGCGAGGTCGGCACCAGCCCCCGGGCGCCCGCCACCAAGCGCGTGCGGCTGGAGACCCCAGCCAACCCCGAGGCAGCAGGAGCAGCAGCAGCAGCAGACGGCACGGCAGCGTGCGGGGGCCTGGCCGCCCGCGCCGCCGCGGTGGCGGGGTCGGCGGCGGTGCCCTCCCTCAGCACCTCGCGGCTGGAGCGGGAGCTGGAGAAGGCACTGAGGGCCTTCATCCGCATCAAGTGAGGCCGCTGGCGCGGAGGCACACGCCGGCTTGCCGTGGCCGGCCGGCAGGGTTTGCACGAGGCACAGCTGTGTGGTTTGCGCAGCTGCTGCGCCGCTGGTGCCCCAGCGCACCAGCGGGGCCACCAGCAGCGCTGGCAGGGGCCACCGATCGGTCCTGCCCTTTCCAGCACACTCCGCTCCGTCGTGCTCGCCGTGCCCCCGCCTGCAGGACCGTGTCTGCCGACCCCTCCCTGCACGAGGAGAGCTTCCGCGGCGCCAAGTTCCTGCTGCGCCTGCTGGAGGGCATGGGGTGCGAGGTCAAGCTGGCGCAGGTGGGCGCGGGGTGCCGCGGGGGCGGCGATGCCGCCGCCGGCTGGCCTCTCCACTGGGCGGCGACCTGCCGGCAGCAGCGGCAACAGGGCGGGCACAGGCTGCATTGTACCGCACAACTCGTACTGCACACCCCCCACCCCCCCCACCCCCCCGCCCCCACCCTGCAGCCTGTGGATGACAAGAACCCTGTGGTGCTGGGGCGGCTGGTGGCCGACCCCTGC